AAATGGGTAGGGAGTACATGACTAAGAAGTTTGTCAAATAATGAAACTGTAATCCAGCTGTATTTCATGGGCAAAAATAGAGGGGAAAGATTATAAAGAAGAACAAAAGGGGGAGGGAAGGACAGATAATCCTGCACTAACCAGACCCGAAGTCACCCCTGAGGTTATTACCACCTCTTCCACCATTGAAGAAATCAGTCTAAAGCTAGATCCCTCAAGGTTGGAGGTTCTGTGCCTGTTAGGAATAGGTCACACTTTCTGAAACCCTAGTTTTTCAGTTTTCAAATGAATGGATGTATTTTTTCATTCCTATGCCAATTTTCACAGTTACTCTCAAACTGTTGGCTTCTACCCTCTACTTCATTATACCACTCCTCTAGGATTATGCTTTAGAGCCTTCTAGACTCTTCAATTAATCCTTAATATAATTCTTTTTTTCTTAACTTATGAAGCTATGTTAAGGGCAGGCAGAAAGATATACCCATTACATTTTCATTCGTCCTGATAACCCACTGGCTATGCCCTTATTCTAACCTTCACAACCAAAAATACAAGGATGTGGCCCCAGAGGAGTTCTGTTTTTAAGAGTGCTATGGCAGTGTTTGTCAAAAATCTCAGTAGTAGAAACTCTTCTTTTAAAATAATTCTCTAGATATACAAATACAATACCAGTGAATATTTATAATCACTGTCAGTTACCTTGCTTTGACATGCATTATCTATCTCATTTAATCCTCACAAAAACCTCCCGGATGCTTTTATACCCTCGTGAGACTGCAATTGCTATAACAGTATCCTCCCAGGTTCAGTGACATACTTTAAAATCACACACCAATGAGTTCTGAACTCATCTTTCTGGTTGTAGAACCTATGTTCTCTAACCCCCTGAGTCATGCTGCCTACTGGCAAGGATGCACTGCAAGACTGATTTTGTTAGGATCTTACCTACCCAGGTAGGCCCACGCATGACATTCTACAAGGGGTGTTATTTACCTGGCTTGTTCTGGATGGGGCCAAAAGACTTGACCATAGTTGTTGCCTGGACTGTACTACATTTAGATTCGTTTTGATATAGTAGCTCTTATAAATGGCTTTTTAATTCACATTTATATCACAAATATATGTACTGGTTTTAAAACTCAACTACTGCAAAAGGAGTTCCTTCCCATTCCTAAATTTGGTTTCACAGAGGCAACCTTTTCTTTCTCTTTTGGGGCGGGGGAGACTATTTTTTTTGTTAACTAAATCCCTATTCCTAGCCTGACCATTCCTCAAAATACTCCAGTCATCTCTATTCTCTCTCTCTCCCCGTGTGTGTGTGTGTGTGTGTGTGTGTGTGTGTGTGTGTGTGTGTTACTGGCAACATCGCTTCTGGAATTCCTCACCATCATCTTTTGCCTTTCTATGCTGAATTCCCCAATTCCTTCATCCCGTGTCTTTTTCCTTCTTTCTTTACTCCCTTTATGGCATTTTTTTTTTTTTTTTGAGTTGGAGTCTCACTGTCGCCCAGACTGGAGTGCAGTGGCCGCTCCCGGCCACCGCAGCCTCAACCCACTGGGCTCCAGCGATCCTTCCGC